TGTTTCCAGGAGACAATCCATCTAGATTATCATTCCGTTTTACCTTTTGCAGATCAAAAATATAAGTATGAACCACATCCACTCCATAAGAAACATAAAGTGCAGCATCGGTTTCAGAATTATAAAGATGTGGATCAAGGCAAAGTTGGTTGCCATTGATGATCACAGTAGGCATAAAGTTCAAAGCGCGATGCCAAAGAAGACATAGAGCTATGGCAGGGAATTTGTTACGAAACCAGAAAGAAATTGGCCGTCCCGTGGTGCGGTGTTCAAACCACACTGGAATTCTTGCTCCTGGCAAATAAAACTCGGTGTTTCCAGCCTCATGCAGTTCCTGTTAGTCATAAATAGTTCATAAGTTTAGCAACATTAAGTACACTATCAAACATCAAATCAAATACATAAAAAAAAAACCTGATTCAGTAGCTTGTTTCTACTCAAGGAAGTCAAGGATTTGCAGTTTCTTGCAGACAAAACTTTTAAGCTTGGTGGAATCCCTCTAACTTCTTGAAGAAGCTTGCAATCATTCAAATTAAGCTTCCTTAAAAAGTGACATTCTTTGATGCATTCGGGAATAACTGTGAAACTACTACACGATAGGTTTAATTCTTTCAAATTAGAAAACCACGTGAGGCCTATTGCAAGAAGTTCATCTGACAGGTTGCACCATGGGAGTTCAAGATGTCCTAAGGTTGAAGACACCATTGACCTCACTCTTTCTTCACCCCCTTCCTTTTTTGTCAATGGACACACTTCCCATCCATTACCGACGATCAGATCCAGTTCTTGTGTTACGACAATGTTACTAGATAACTGAACAATTCCCTGGTCACCAAGATAGAAGCTACGAAGCCGAGTAAGATCTTGAAATGAAAATGGCAATTCTTTGATGGGAGTTTTGTACAAGTCAAGATTTTTTATGTTTTCCATCTTTCCCAATATTTCCGGAAAACTCTCAAGTCTACAGCAATATGAAAGATGGAGTTCTTCAATAGAAGTCAATTTCAGGGGAGGCAAACCTCTAAGCTTGATGCAACCCGAAAAATTCAAGTATCTAAGTTTATCTAGCAACCCAACCGAATCGTGAATTGTATTAAATTCCTACAACTTTGAGAAGAAATTTTTTCTAAATTTGGGAGACCAGACACATCAGGTATCTGTGTAATACATTTACTATTGTCAAAATTCAAAACTTTTAGATTCACAAACTTCTGCAAAAAAAGAAAGAAAAGGAACCAAGTAAATAATCTTAAAAATGAAATAATTAATACACAAGATCAAGGAAAATTAACTCATTACACTTGCCTTTATTAAGCCACCCAATTCGTGTGATGTAAAGGAACTATCGTTTATCTTGCATATAGCTAGTTCCCTTGGATGAAAATCAGATGGCATATACTGTGAAGGACATCCTTGCCACTCCAGAACCCTTAAATTATTTGGAAGATGTTCAGGGCCTTTGGAAAAATGACCTTTTCTAACAATAAGTGTTCTGAGGTTTTTCATCTTCTCAAAGGCCTTTCCATCCCATTCTACTATTACTTCTTTGCCCAAATATATGATTTCAATTTCATTAGTTCCCTATCATCACAAAAAGCATAAATTAGCCACAGTACATGTATTTACCTAAGTCTTCAACACACAAATTTAGAGAAATTTACATATTATAAAGGGTAAAAAAACAATTGTGATGTGAGCATATAATAGTCAAAAGAGATAAATCAAGGTTGAAGATGAAAAATCAAACTATCCATTTCAATTTTACTCACTGTATTTTCTTCTAAAACTTGAACTATATCTCTGGAAAACCATAACCTGCTGCGTTTCCCTGGCTCTTTCGGTGATTCCTGTCGTACAACTTCTTTACCCATATTCTCTATCAAGTCATGTAGTGTCACCAGACCAGAGCTAATCTTTATGAGAGATTTATCTGCCAACACTCCAATGTGATATTTCATGCAGTCACGATGATGAGCACAGAGTATATCTTCGACCTCCCCCAATTCATATCCTTTGAAGCAACAAGCAATGTCAAGAAAAACACTCTTCTCTTCTTCCTCCAAAGCATCAAAGCTTACTTTAAGTATCTCTTGGATCTTTTTATTAGGAGTTCTTTCGTACAGATGTAATGCAGAGTTCCATTCATCTATACTTTTTCCAAACAAGTTGCAACCTATTACTTCCAAAGCCAATGGAAGTCCACAAGCATAAGTTACTGCACGGTTTAAAATGTTATTGTAACTTGGATCAACTTGTTTATTTTTAAAAGCTTTCCACCTAAACAATTCAAGAGCTTCTGTATTATTTAACCCATCCACCTCGTATGTTCTTTCAACCCCATGACTTGCTAGCAAATGTATGTCCCGAGTGGTAATGATCACTCTACTGCCACGACCAAACCAATTATATCCTCCAACCAGGGCCTCTAGTTGCTCTATTTTGTCAACATCATCTAGAATCAAAAGAACCTTCTTTTGCTGGAGCCTATGCTGTATTATTGAAATTCCTTGTTTGACACTTTTTAACTCAATTTTCTTCACTCCAACCATTTCAGAAAGAAGGATCTCCTGGAGATATCGTAACCCTTTTTTGTTTGAATTTTCTCTCACATTTTCAAGAAAACATAAACCATCAAAGTTGTCAGCGATCAAATTATAAACAGCCAGAGCTAGTGTTGTTTTACCAACACCACCAATTCCATAAATCCCTACCATATGGACGCCATCATTAGATCCAACATCCAGAAGCAACTTTACTTTTAGCACTCGTGACTCTAGTCCAACCGGATAATCCGCAACATGTAAAGGAGCACGATTAATCTTGCTGGAGACCAATTCAACAATCCTCCCAATAAAATGGTATTCATATCCATCCCTATTCAAGCAGAGAAGTTTGTGTGAAGTCAAACTAAATGCCTGATATACATGTCTTGATACTTATATCATTACGATTCAAATTGTTTGATATAGAATGATTTAACATATTCAAGGTTAACAAGCATTTCTTTTCTCTTTAAATCTTAACACTAAATCGTTAGCCAAATGAAAACTAATAAAACAAAATAAGGTAAAAGATTGTTGAAGTGAGTGAGGTACCCATGTTTGAAATGAAAGCCAGACAAGTTAGCTACTTGCTGCAGAGTCATCTTCCATTTCAGCAACCTCTCCTTGTTATCCTTAAACCTCTCTTCATGCATAGCCAAGGCCTCACCATAAGTACCTGTATGCTTTCGCACATCAGAAGGATCCACGTCATAAAAAACCGGCAAAACCAACCGACCCTTTCCGTTAACGCAGTCAATGATCTTGGAAAGCTCATCTAAGCAAAATGAAGAAGATGCATAGTTCTTAGAGAGCACAATGATGGCAATTCTGGATTCTTCAATTGACTTGATAAGTGATGGTGTGATTTCCTCTCCTCTTTGAAGCTCCTCATCATCAATGAAGGTGTGGATTCCACTTTCATGAAGTGCTTTGTAGAGATAGCCAGTGAAACCGTAGCGAGTATCTATGCCTCTGAAGCTGAGGAAAACATCGTAGTTGAATCCGTAGGTGAAGGAAGAAGAGGATGATGACATAGCCATGAGATCGAAGAAAGCTTAGAATGAGAATAGATGAAGTGTTGTGTTGGGTCTCCAAAGTGAAACAAAAATAATGGAGACTTAGGGAGTCGAAGACTAGCAAAGTAGCAGCAACGCGGAAAAACCCGATATTTTTAATTTGTGTGTTTTTTCCAAGTAGGTTCTTGCTCGACTTGATTTGTGTGTTTGTTTTTTTTTTTTTTAATTTGTTTTACCTTAAAAGCTGTTTTTATTTTAAGAAAAAAAATTATTCTTTTAGTTTAACACAGTGTAATTTTGTGTTTTTTGCAGATGTGCCCCCATTTATTTGAATGAGATTATTCTCTTTTGTGGTACAGAGCATAAAAGATTTTGCAACTAATTGTAAATTGTTTGGCCTAACAATCAAACTAGCAATCTTCCAGCCTTTTATCATTTCGTTTCTTGGGCACAACTGATTAAACCAGTTATATTGAAATTATATGAAAATATATAATAAATATAATAGTTCTAGCAAGCTAAATATATTGAAGTTAAGGAATATTTACAAAGGAATTTTCTCGGTTCCTTTCTCATTATCATTTATCCGGTGTTATAACAAACATGCCCAGCAACAATTTACCAAATTCTGCAGCTCTTCCCGTGAATTTTCATATTAAACCCACCCCCTCCTCCATTTAATGGAGTCTTTTTTTTTTTTATAAAAATAAAAAACATATTGGAGTATTTATGGACTCTGCATTACCTAGCAGGGCATATATCTCAATTCGCAGGCCAATATTCCATGACAAATCCCATCCAGGTTTTTACCTATTTTTAATCTGGTTCTAAATTTAAATGAAAGTTTTACTAAGGATGATATGTGAGCTTTTGATGAGTGGTGGTGACATGTGAGGTGGTTGCCCATCCCTTGAAATTTGTGACTGAAATATATTAGTCTTAGATTGCACATAAGTGATTCTAGTGTTAAAAATTTAACTTTCAACATGTTAAAGTTTTTTCAACGGGGGTACCTTGTAAGTTTATGAATATAGTGGACGAAAGTGTTTCATTTTAGTTTATCTAGGTACGTAATTATAAAATTGATCTGGGAAATAAGAAAACATGTGTATAATGTTCAACATTTATAGGACAATTAATTTGATATATCAAGAAATCGCGACCTGTAATTGCAACTAAAATTTTTAGTTTTTTTAACTCAAGGTTTATTATATATTGGAGTTACCATCAAATCCAACTCTCGTTGAGCTGTATATAATGTTAGAAATGAAGGAATATAACTGTATAACGTATCCATGTTATAAGAAGAATAAATGTTACCAAATGTTGCGGTTTTTCATCCATGACTATGATGAAGAGCTATCTAATATTTAATTGAATTTCCCAAGGCAAGCAACTTCTACATTTTTGATACAGAAGTTTAGGATAAAAAAAGCTATCCATTTTTCAAGACAAGTCTCATAACTGTCAAGATAAGTTTCGATTACCATCTCTGGTTCACCAAATTAAAAATGAAACATTCTCATGCCACATCTAAATTTGACAAAAAAAAAAAAAAAAAATTGCCTGAACAATCCGTGGTAAATAATCAGTTAAACGCTCTTTCCTACAAGGCAACACTCAAGCTCGTCCTTATGAAAACCGGACAATTTATCAAAATGGCAGCATCAAGGTCAAACGTGATTTACTCACAAGCATTTCATAGTGTGTACAAAAAAGGAGGAAAATCACAGAGACCAAAAAGAATCTGAAGAATTTGAGCCACAGCATTAGAGGGGATTCACTGAGATTATTCATGTTTCCATATCAGCAGGCACAACCACCCCTCTGTTCATTCTCTGGAGCGGCCTCTGGAATAGCTTGAAAATATCTGCAATAGATATTGAAATATTGAATTCGAAAGTCAGTTAAGCAGCAATTTATTAAATTTTCTTACCTGAAAAGTAAAATGGTAAATGTAACTACTACACGAGACTCCAAAAGAAGTAAAAAAAATAAAAATTAGCAAGTACAAAAACAAATTCCATAACATGAATGAACCAAACGGCAAACAGTCAAATCTATCTGTTTTAATGGACAAAAATGGTTTACAATCACTAAAGGTGGATGCTCAGACATCTATCCTCAGATGGGAAGTGGCTTACTCCCACTGTTAACCACCATCTCCATCAGTAAACTTTTTCTTACATCATAACAAATGGTCAAACTGCAGAAAGCTCCCCTTCCATCTCTCCCACAAAAATATTGATCAAGGTTTAATGGGGAGTGATTTTTTTTGTAGAACTTCACCTGCATATTCCAATTGTGTCAAGAGCTTGTTCTTTTTTTTTTTTTCAGTGTTTTTTGATATATACCACACACTAAGAGGGCGAGCTTAGAGTAGCCGTAAAACTGCTCCTTTGTGATCGAAAGGTCGGAAATCTAAAAAATAACCTCTTTACAAAAATACAAAGATAAAACTGTCTACAAGGATTTCCTTCACCCTTACCCTCACATGTTGGGGTTTCACGGGGAATGATTTTTGTTGATATATACCGAACGACATACTAGTAGTAGATTAATCTTAAAACACATAATATTAACTTAGTGGTCAATGTACGTACAAAATATATCCTCATTTAAACAAATTTGCAGTTCATACATAAGTACAACTTATCAAAATATAAATTAAAAAGGTTGTTTGCAAACAATTAAAATAATATACGATAATGACAAAAACCCATTCTTATACTTGGGAAGCATAATCATAGACACTAAATTAACAAATGAAACATGGATAAGTCACACTATCTCAATATTTGTGTTAGTTAGTTTTGTTATTGGTGGTAGTGCAAATATTTGTTTTGTGGGATAATAGTGAAAAACATAGACACAAATAGAATAGAATGCAATCACTGGAAACTAGAAAGCAATACGCAAAGAGAAAAATATTGTAAGAAATTAAACCCGAGTCCACTATTATATAGTGTCCTTAAGGCAATTTTCCCCCCTCAACGGTACTTAAGGTTTGTGAACAAATCCCTCCCAAAATAGAGCGGATTGCCTTTCTTTCTATGATAGCACAACCAGAAGAAAAGACACCGGTGGACACAACAAACGCTTGATTAATCACAGACAAAGGCGAAAAATGAGGAATAACTTAGGAGAAGCTTCAATAAGATTAGAAGTCAAGAAAAACAAGTTATTTGAATTTACTGAATAATAACATGAGGAAGGTTATACTTACAACCTTTTTTTTTACAACCTCTTACAACCATATCTTAACACCGTTGATTTCCGTCAATCAACAGTTAAGATTTATTGCGAATTAATAATTAATTAATAAATTTAATTTCTAAAAATCTTAACCGTTGATTGACGGAAATCAACGGTTAAGATATGGGTTGTAAGAGGTTGTAAAGAAAAATAGGTTGTAAGTATAACCTTTTCCTAATAATATATATAAGAGATGAACGATAACCGGTAACACACCCAAGAGGCACGAGAATTCGGAAACGAAGAGACACGACTGTTTGAATACAAAGAGGCGCAATTCTTCGAAAATGAAGAAACGTGACTGTTCCAACTTCTTATTCGTAACCACTTATACAACAACCCCACACATGAATAAGAAGTTTATCCTCCTCGACCATTTGCATCTCGGGCTAGGTACAATATATGACTAATCAATGAGCAACAACTACATTAGGATTGGTGGACGCAATGCTTTGTAACCATCCCTAGTGAGACCCATCGATTTACTCGGTCAATCGGTGGACGCGATGTCTTGTAACCGTCAACCTTTGAGTGTAAACCAAGACAACAAGAAACACACAATTGTTCCTTGAACGTGGTTGGTCCTCTGTTTGTGTTCGTTTTGACCACGGACACCTCCTGGTTCTGTAAAGGTATTAGAGACTACGGTCTCGTCATATTCTCACATAAGAGGCCCTCACTTTACACTCACATAGGTGATTTCTGACGATGCATCCCAACTTGCTTACCCTTTACTTATGCAATGCCTTGTCCAAGAATGTGTATAAGTTTGAAAAAATTAACAATGCTTATCCGTCAATCATCACTTGGTTTTCTCTTTGAACCTAGTTCGAGAGATCTCGACTCTTATGGGTAGAGTGTCTGCAATGATCAACATTTTAATAGCCATAAACTCATTCCTATCGACAAATTATACATTAACTCTCTAGTTACATCTTTTGTTAATGGATCCGCTACATTATCTTTTGACTTCACATAGTCAATTGTAATTATTCCACTAGAGAGAAATTGCCTTACTATATCATGTCTTAGACGAATATGTCAAAACGTACCATTAGGGCTAGACCATCTCGGAATGTCTTCGAGGAAGTTATGTAGCCATTCAGCTTCTTCACTGGCTTTGTCTAAGGCAATAAACTCATCAGCTTTCATGGTCGACCTTGCTATAGAAGTCTACTTGGATGATTTACAAGAAACGACACCCCATCAAGTGTGTACACATATCCACTTGTGGATCTAGTGTCATATAGCCGATTATCCAATTTGTATCAATATTGATCGCTTCTTCCCACAATGGTGCTTCTGGGGAATTCATGGCTTCTTTAAATGTTTGGGCTCATTTTCTAACATATATGTTAGAAAATCTGGTCCAAAAGACGTTGCACTCATTTGTCTTTTACTGCATCAAGGTTCTTCCTCTTCAGTGGGAATATCATTAGTCGCAGTATCCCGAGGTATTTAATCATTGCTATCATCATTATTATTTACCCAAAATACCATGTTATACAGAAATATGTTTTCAAAGAATGTGGCATCCCTTGATTGAATAATCGTATTAACATGGATTTTCGAGACCTCGGACTTATGCGCAAGGAATCAATATGCACTATTATTAAGTGCATATCCAATGAACACGCAGTCCACTGTCTATGGTCCGATCTTAACCTTTTTTGGTTTAAGAATCGCAACTTTAGCTAAATACCCCCACATTTTAAGATAATTCAAAATAGGTTTCCTACCTTTCACATTTCATAAGGAATTTTCTTTGTTTTCTAGTGGGGTACTGTTACACTCTTACTCCAAGGTATGGAACTTAGAGTCCCACATCGGAAACATAAGCTTTTGGTGTGGGGTTTATATGGACTTTGGGCTCTCCTATCTCTTGGGCTAACTTTTAGGGTGAAGCTCACCCAAAGTTCGTATCAATTGGTATCAGAGTCTTCCACTATGTCTCCCAGTTGCAATCGAGCAGCGCGGGTGGTGACGCTGGCATTGTAGTAGTGACTACGGTTTGCAAATTACATTGCTGCGGAGCGTGGTGGAATGTAACGATCCTACTCCAAGGTATGGGACTTGGATTCTCACATCGTAAACATATGGTTCCGGTGTAAGGTTTATATGGACTTTGAGCTCTCCTACCTCACAGACTAGCTTTTGGGGCGAGCTCTCCCAAGGTTCGTATTAGGTACCTATTGATTATACAATTTGCCATTAATGACTTACCCCTGTAAATTTTGTGGTAAACCCAACGTCAGCAATCTCATTGAACTATGGAGCATAAGGAGCTATTTTTTGGTGTATAATACCAAACTCCAAGCTAAATTTCTCAAAAGGGCTATCATACTCATAGTTATCAAATGTGGATTGCGGCATGTCACGGCCAACCCCGAAAAACGCTATACGTTATAGCGGGTTGCGGTTACGGAAATAGCGGAATAGATATATGACAGAAATAATGATAAAAAGAAACATTTTTTAAAGGAAGAGATAGCAGGAGTGACAGAGAGAGACGCGGATAGACTAAAAAACCCTTAAATTTTTTCTGTTACACATTTAAATTTAGGACAAAATTGACATTTTGCCTTATTATAGCAATACGGCCATAATTTGGCCGCAAATGCGATCGCAATGGTCGCTATTGCGTTCCGGTGCGGCGCAGCGGGGTTTCTTGCGGAGAGGCACCGCAATGCCCATACGGCGCGGCTTGCGGCGCTATTGCGGCACAATTAACTACTATGATCATACTCACCCCATCAATCACTCAATATTTCTTTTGTCTTTTGATTTAACATTATTTGGCCATAACACATTGATGGGCCTGAAAATAAATATCCAAGCCCATTAGTTATCATTAGTTAGGATTAGTATATATAGATATTTTGGGTGAGGTTTTCTTTATGCATGAATTCAGTATTGGCTTATGGAGAAACTGGGGATCTCTAGGAGTTAAGATTTCTTGGTTTATTTTCTGCACTTTATCCTTGTAAGGAGCTTGTCTCCATTTATATTTTTGCAATTTCATATTAATAAAAGTAGGTTCCATCAATTTGATATCAGAGCATCTTCGATCCCGGAGGTGCTTTCTGGTCAAGATCTGAATAAAAAAAACAGGAATACATATCTACAAGGGTTCCAAAATTTTATGGAGAAGGAGACGATGCTTGGGGATGGCAAATTGCTATGGAACATTTTCAAGAAAAGAAAATAAGTGAAGAAGATGAACAATTGGCAGAAGTTCTGAATGGGCTTAGAGGATGTGCGCTCCACTGGTATAGGTGTTGGAATGGTCTCAATCCTAATGCAAATTTGTAGGATTTTACCAAAGCGTTATAAGTAAATATCTACCTGAGATTTTTTTGGTAAACGAAGAGGAAGAATTGGAGCATCTAGAACCAGCAGAGAAAGAAGAAACAGAAGCATAATCGAATGAAGAAAAAGAAGATGCAGAAGAAGAAAAAAAAAGAAAAAGAAGACAGAAGAAGAAAACAAGAGAGGAAGAAGAAGCCAGATCAAATAAAGCTGGAAAAAAAATCCAAGAAGAACAACAAGCGCAAGAAGACGAAGAATATCAAGAGGGAGATGAGGAGGTTGAGGCAGTGGTAAGGGAATACTGAG